CATTTTAAGAAACACAAATGACTAAGAAACACAATCATATCCTTTCTTACATGTGTTACTGCCTTGTATTTGCCAACCACTTATGTCAAAAATGATGACAAGAAGGAAAGATAGAACAACTCACAGTTTCTTTTCCTTTCAGTCTTGTAGAATGGTCATATGTGCACGTATCAAGAAGTGAAATAAAAACAGCTGAATTAGTTTTGTGCAGTGTTTCCACTGTTCTGGTAAGAAGTAAATACATACGCTTGCACGAGCAACAAAATAAGAATTGTGCAATTTTAGTGATTCTACATGAGTAAAATGTTCTTGTATTTGCATTTAAAACGAATTGTACAATATAAACTAATTCATGTTAATAACCTAAAATTTTAATTTTCCTTTACTAGAACATTAAATAATAAATAAAAATCACGACAAGGCCAACATCGATGTTCATAAATCATATTGATAGCATGTAGCCTTGATACGATGTGATGAAATGGTACTTTATCTCTGTGATCTTTCTCCACAAAAGTCATAACTCCAGTCTAACCAAGAGAAAAAGACAAGCAAAATCTCAACAGAAGGGCATTCTACAAATACCTAACTAATATATTTGGAATTACAAAGGTAATCAAAATCAGAGAAAGTCTGAGACACTGTCACAGCCAAGGGGAGCCGAAGGAGACATGATAACTAAAAGTAACAAAATATTCTGGATAAGATCCAGGAAAAGAAAAAAAAAGGCATTAGGTAAAAAAGGATACTTGAATAAAGTACAATGTATCAATGTTGGTTCATTAATTGTAATAAATGTACCATACTATCTTAAGATGGTACTGGGTGTGGAGTAAACAGGAATTCTCTATAGTATCTTTTCAGTTTCTCTGTATCTCTAAAACCATTCTAAAAAATTAAGTCTATTAAAAAAACATGAAAAGTCAAAAGAGAAACCACAAGAGAAAGTAAAGCTTTATACCTGTGTTTTAGTACCTTTAATGGTACTTTTTTCTTGTTTTTTAAAAGTATTCCAAAATAAAGGGTTTATTAATTTTTTCTTGGTTTTTAAACAAGGGGCCTTACGTTGTCATTTTATACTAGGCCCTGCAAATTATATAGCCTTCCTTGCCTCTGTCCTAAGCCCTGTCATCCAGACCTCACACTGAGGTTGCTCCGGGTCCTTTGGGAGTCTCTGAAACGCCAAGAGTAAGGCTGTGAGTGTGCAGGAAATCCACAGGGAAGGCCAGTATGTATTGAGTTCTGTCCTCTGAGCTCATCTGAATTCTGGGAAAGGCAGCTGCAGCCACAGCCTGCAGAAGTCCTCACACAGGCCAAATGGTATTCCTAAGAGAAGCCACTGCATAGAGTCACAGCATCCTAGAGCTGGAAGTGACCTCATTCATTGTTCGACCACGGCCCCTTCCTCCACTTTTTAAGGAGAAGAAGGAGGACACAGAGGCATGGAGAGGGGTAGAAGGCTCTCAGGCCTCCAGAAGCCTCCAGCGAGTGACAGCCCAAGTTGTACCCAGCTCAGTGCCTCATGCCTCCTCCCTTCAGCCCAGATTAGACCGGCCTTCTCTGTCCCCGAGTGTTTCCCAGCAGCCTGAATTGTTACCCCACCTTTCCTCAGAGCCCCTTCTTTGTTTCTCTGGGCATGTAGATGGTGGGGGTCGGGAGGGGGAGGGATGTGTGTGTCTAGGTAGGTGGGATGAGGCCAGAAGCAGAAAAGAGAAGGCTGTAGTCATTGCATTTCCCACTTGACCATTTTTCCCGGGGCTGGGGTAGGGGAAGAAAGCCTGAGAGTCACAGTTGCAAGTCTTGAGACCAAAGAACAGCCATGGGTGTCATTAGAAAAGAATGCAGAGAAGGTGGCAGCAGCAAGGAGAACTTCTGGCTTGGAGAAGGCAGAATTCCTCAACTCCAGGCAGATGGGCCTTGCAAAGTGAAACCAGACCTCCATGGAGTCTTTACTATACATGGGCTCAGAGGGATAGGGCCTCTGGTCCTGCCACAGATGTGCAACCTCACCAGGGAACAGGAATCCCTGAACTGGAAACCCACACTGGGCTTCCTCAGATGCCTCAGAGAAAGGCCACGCCTCTGGAGACTACTGTTATGGCAGCAGCTGCCAGTGGCTGACTGCCTTCTCCCTTGTGGACATGGCTGCCCTGCCTGCTTTCAGCTCCTGTTACATGTCTAGAGCCCACTGCCCAGGAGCAGTTTTACAAAGTAGTTAAAGGTTCAATCTCTCGTGTCACACTGTCAGAGTTTAAATCCCATCTCAGCTGCTTATTATCATTTGTGTTTCCATGGGAACTATGTATAACCTCCCAGAACCTCAGTTATCTCACTTGTAAAATGGAGTTACTTAGACTTAAACCCTCACTAGCAACAGTGAGTCCAACAACATGTCCTCACAGGACCCTAAATGAGCAGTATCAAATCAAATTTATCAGAAGGGTTATTTCACAGCCCCCACCCTGACCACACACAAACAAGTGGCCGAGCACATTCCTTTGTAACAAATAGTTGTCACCATGGCAGAATCGCCTTCACCTTATTCCTTCTTGAAGAGCCTTTTCTCTCAAGAGAACACCAGATCAGCTACTGTCAGGCAAAGAGAAATCCAATTTATGAAGACACTGTCTTCCTTCCTCCTTTCCTGGTTCTAATTCTTCATAAGTCCCTTGCCTGCCTGCCACCCACATTTACTAAGTTCTCATCAAGGGTTAATTTATACTGGTTTGGGAGCTTTCAGTGGGCAACTGTGTCTTCTATCAGTAGCGCTAGAAAATAATCCCACCCTAAGAAGTCACACTGAGAGAGGAAAGGAAGAGAACTGGCCTGGCAGGGTACACTCCTGGCTGCCACACTCACCAGGGAAAAGGAATTTTTCAATTGGGGTCAGAGCTCTTTGCTGAGATCTCCCCTAGATCTTTCCTGAGTTTGCTGAAATTATCAGCCTATTTAGTACTAACTGTGTGATTTAAATTAATATTTTGTAGCTAATGTACTAAATGACAGAATCTGGATTCAAAGAACGAGTGAATCTAAGATGACATTGAACCCAGAAAAATAGAAGCTTCTGTACTTGAGTTAAAACTAAAATGATTTACAGAAGCGCTTTAACAGGGATGCATGAAACAGATCTGAGGGTCTCAGTTGACTGCAACTTAAAGTGGATTCAACTCTGTGATATGGCACCCATAAAACCTATGATCTTAGGATGCATCTATAGATATATAGTGGCTATTCTAGAATGAAGGGTGTGATAAGATCACTTCATTCTACACTAGACAGAAAATTCACTATTTTTAGAGACATTTACAAATTCAAGAGCATGTAGGATGGTGAATGACTTTGAAAAAATATATTACGTCAGAAAGAGATAAACTAACTGGGAGGTTCTTGGTAAGAACATAATTGTTTAAGGATTAAATAAGATAACATATTTAAAGTGTTTACTGCAATGCCTGGCATAAATGCTCAATTAATGTTAAAAATAAAAGAATGATAATTAGTAGTGTTATTAGCACATCGTACTATTACTACTATTATAGTTAATACTTACGGAGTGCTTACTATATACTAGGCATTATTCTAGATTCTTTACATACACTGATTCATTTATTCCTCTTACCAATCCTATGATGTAGGTACTATTATGCCTCCAGTTTTGCAGATAAGGAAGCTGAACCACAGAAAGGTTGTCCAGTGTGTCTCACAGGTGGGAAGGGTAAAGAACCAGAACATTAACTTCACCAGTGTCAGGCTATCAAGGACAAAAGCCACTTTTATTCCTTCATACATGTTTTGTACCACTCCAGAGAACAGAACCAGGACCAATGTGTATAAACAATTGGGAGGAAGATTGCAACTCAACAACAACGAACCACTCTGAATGATTAGAACTGTCTGAAATTTCAGTGGGGTATCTTTTAAGGTAGTGAGTTCTCCATCACAGGATGTAAGGGGAAAAAAAGGATAGAAATGAAGAAATCAATGAAATGGGCCTACTCTTGAAAGAAACCATACAAATGATGAACCCATCCCTTGGTGAAAAGACTAAGGAAGGTGTAGTGAAACTTGGTTTAAAAGACACACATTACTGAAAAACTGAAAAGTAACAACGGTTATGGAAAAGATATAAAGGTAAACTAATATCGGTCTTGCAGCTATCTCAGCACAAAGTAAATTAGATGTTGGATGAAGAGTGACAAAAATGGGAAATTTCACATATGAATTTCTGTTTGGGAACTTAGTAGGCAGCCCAGGTTTGAAAAAAGCAATCCCAGCATCCTCACAGATCTGATGGCCACCTATCCTGAAAGTGGAAAATACAGACAGGAGAGGAGGTATCTTCTGCTCTCTAGAAGGGCATCTGATTGAAAAAGTAGCATCCAGGCTGATGTGAGTAGGTGAAATGCAGGCATGAGGAAGATCATAAAACACCATTAGATCCAAAATTACAGATACAGACTTGTAATGATAATTGAATATGTCAGCATGATTTTAATCCTGCTATATTCAGTGTGTGGTCGACAGAATTATTGCATAGTTTAATATGAATGCCCTCTGTGCTGAATCATTCTTTTGGGGGTCCAGCAGCCCCACGACCCAAATAGACCCAAATATTTGCTAATTTAATGAATATAAACTTTGTCAACCAGCAACACCAAGAGGTGGCTGGTTAAGGATATGACTTCCAGCAAAATATCTTATTTCTATTATGAAAAATGACAGTATATATACATACGCACATATATAATAGTACGCATATTTACAAACATACATACATACATACATACATACAATAATAACATGCACTCCATCAAAAAATGTTCCCATTTCCTTTTTCAGACTATTTGTACTTGGACAAATGTGTATCTTGATTTATGAAATTCAAAGCAGTCTTTTTATATTTACAAACTTAATTCTTTTTAGAGTTCTAGAACTGAATGATTATCAATTTAGACTGGAGTTTTTATTTGTGATATAGGTCCAGGGGCTCACCAAAAATAAAATCCTGAAGTCGTGGAAAACTGAAAGCTCATCTCCCATGAAAGTGACGAGATGAAAACCAAGTTGAGTTATAGATATGGATTACAACTGGGAGAGGTGGCATATGATGTTGATTCATTAAGGAGAAATAGTCAAATTTGAATGCAGGATCTGGACTGTAGGGGAAATAATAATGGGCCTCCGTGGCTGATGAGAGAAGAATGAGGGTGAGAGGTGGTTGTCAGGGGAAGCCGCAGAGGAAAAGGCAATAACCCCAAAGTCTGGACGCTGACCGACTCTGTAACCAGGAAAAGGCAAATATTAACAAAGAGAGGTGACTGGAGATGCCTGATGCGTTGGAGTTCAAGAAATACTGATAGGTTGCTGCAGCGCGGCTGCGGGTCAAAGTGGTAACTGGGGATCCGAGCTTGGCGGTGACGCGCGGCTCTCACGTGACCAGGAGCCTGTGTTTGCCCAAGTCCCTCTCGTCCTAGTCCTTTTTGCCTGTCCAGACACCGTCTGCCCATTGCCCTCTGGACGAGGGGAAAAGCTGAAGGAAGTAAGTTCCCTCCGCCTTCTGAAATCGGTGTGTCTGTGCTGCCCAATAACTCCTGGGATCGGGATGGCAGAGAGTGTAGGCCCTTCTCTATGACAGTAAAGGCCTTTCCCTATGCCAGCCCGGCGCCCGCACGTCAGTCCAGAAAATGGTGGTCTTGGCGGGGGGATGAGTGGGCAAACCCCAAAAGGGAGCCACCGATACTTAGAAATAGTTTCTCAGTAATCAATCTTTCGCTTCCACTTCCCACCTGAAAAGAAATGACGAGCGCTGCGGGGTGGGGGTGGGGGTGGGGGCACGGAGGACGAAGCTCGAGATGCGGGAAGACATGGGGGGTGGGAACAAGAAAGGGAGGGCGCGGGGGCGGCGGCCGGTGCCCAGAAAAAGGGAGTGAGTCAGCCAGCCCCTCCTCCTACCCACTCCCCGCCCCCTACCCTCTCTGGCGTCCGTCTGCAGGTCTGCAGGTCACAGCCGAGCACCTCGAGGACGGAACACCTAGGAGCACAAGGCCAGGAGAGGTCCGGGAAGGGGTGGGCAGGGGATGCGGTACGAGGGAGGACGACAGTGGGAACGGAG